TAATGAAGAAACGAATCTGGCATGAAAGACATGAATGGGCCTATCTCTATATTCTCAACAAATAAACTCCCAGTGAAACAACACAAATACCCACAAGTAGTAAAGTACAGACCGAATAGGACCTCAGGATCTCAATATGGTGACAAATCAAGACAGAATTATACTTGAGTGATAACTTAAGCTACAGTGGAAACTATCCCTACTTAATTGACAACTTAAGCCATTTTCAAAATGCACACAGATAAAATGAACAACGAGATCTCTGGGCCAAGCAAATATGCAAAAAGAATAACTAGCCTTTCTTTTGGGAATCTTACATTAAGATTTAGATTACGTGGTTATTAACTCCTCTATCCTCTAGGTCTTGCATTGTCACGAGGTCCCCCTTTTCTTTTGACAAGTACATCAACATGAGATCTTTTAAAAATCAATTTACAGATATGTAGCTATTTACATATATGAGTAGATTATTTCAGCTATTGATTGTGCATTAGCCCCACCTTTCAAAATTCAGTAACATACTTTTTATAATTTTTTGACGCACAAAATTCAAAAATATCAATTGTTGGATAGATATACAATTATTTAGGGCTTGACAGAGGAAATGTCAAACCCTCCTGCCTGATACAAATTGCTAAAACCAAACTGCATAAATATTTGAGTATGCAGTACCCACAACCTTTGACTTCATAACCAGTGGACATCTGGTAGCTTATGAGAAAAGAAGGTATTTTTGGAATACATTTCTGATCTCATGGATTTATCAAAAATAAAATAAATAAAACAATTGTATCTCATGGACATTGAAAGACTTGTTTTGTTCACAGTACAAAAAATCCATGGAGGGTGAAGTTTTCAGCTTGCGTTAAAATCATAAATTGTCAAGAATTATAAACAGGGTAACTTACATTGTCAAGTTCCTGTTAGCAAAAGGCACCTGTTCATTCAAGAGCAAAGTTATGCTTGCTAAAAACAAACCAGTTGGTTGTTTGCCTCCAATTTGTATTTTCCTTTCTGTAAAATGGACCTTCAGAATGTGTAGATAGAAGGAAGAGGTCTGCAATACAAAGAAAGTAAGACAAAGTAAGCATAAAAGGCACTCACTGTTTCGCACGTATCAAAGCAGCTCTAACTTCTCAGTATCAGAGACAGGGGCAACAAACAGTAACACGTTCTTTAAATGTCAGCAACAACCGCTTTCACTTTAAGCAACCCCTAACTAATAATGATAGGATTTAAGTTATTTTTAGTGTATTTAACATGATATTTACACTTACCAAAGACAATTGAATTGATAATGTATAAAGTTAAATCCAATATTCCTAGAAAGCTCAGCAAGCAATTTAGTTCTCAAGTGTCCATGAAAGTATAGCGACACTTACAAGATAATTCAAATTGTAAAACATCTTATACTAGTGTTTATGAGCGTGAAATCATCAACTTTCACATTTTCCATAAATCCTGGAGTAAGCTGTAGAGCACTTTGGATGCCCTAAACGGTCCCGCTGTTGAAATGCAAATGGAGCACATATTTCAGTTTACATGACAAATTATCATTTTACATACCACTAATTAAGACAGACTCCACCAACAAACTACCCGAACTAGTCGAGGTCCGCTATATGAATCTTACTCTCTATTCATTCTGCTCTATACAGGCACATTACATTACAAAGAGTTCATGATACCGAATCAACGTAAGACACTTACAAGGACGGCAATCAATTTGGTATCAGGACTCCAAACGGCGCGCAAATTCTCGCCTTCTTTCTGAATCGAATCAGAGCTTCTCTTGTACTTGCCCAATCTCACTCTATGCTGAAACCGAAAAGAAACGTGAGAAATAATCAGCACTCAATTAATTATCACCAACGAAGCGAAATTCTCCAATTGTTGCATTCATCCAGACCTGGGAGGAGGACCATAGTTCAAGATGAGTAGGTGAAACGACGAGCAATAAGCGATTGATGAGCTTCAGGTATACAATTTGCTGAGAAGAAGAAGGGCATAGCCCAGCTGATTCCATAGGGATTACCTGTGGCCATCCATATGCCATATACATCTTCCAGATTTATGCAAAAAAATTCAGTTCAAATGCAGATCAAAGGGTGGGAGCGTAAGGGTTTAGATGGAGATCCAAATCGGGTGTGCATTTGCTGCAGAAGAAGAAGTAGATGAATAAAAGAGAGTGTCTAATGTGATGGGACCTCCCTTTCGTTTCAGTTGGGGGTTNGACTCCTCCCATTTAACTCCGCCCGAAATAGCTTTTCTAACAACAAAAAAAAAAATCACTAATTTAGAGGGTGTTTGGCTAAGCTTATAAGTTGGTTAAACTGGCTTATAAGCACTTTTTAGTTTATTTATGTGTTTGGTAAAATTACAAGTGCTTATAAGCTAAAAATAAGCCAAAAGTCATAAGTTGGTCTTCCCCAACTTATCAAATTTCAGCTTATAAGCACTTTAGGTTTGACCAAAATATTTACTATTCTATCCCTAAAATACTTCTTTTTAAAACAAAACTCTTCGTATACCCAGTTCTTCAGTTGCTTATTGTTTATTTCAGCACTTTTATCCAAACATGTAACTGCTTATTTTTTAAATCAACTTCAGCATTTAAAAGTGTCTTTCAGTACATTATGCTTATTAGCTACTCTAAATCAGCTAAGCCAAACGGGCTCTTAATACAAGTGGGGCCTGACAAGGGTAATATGTACGCAGAGTTACTCCTACCCCTGAAATGACAGATAGGCTATTTTCGGATAGAACCTCGGCTAGAGAATGATTGAAAAAGAAAAAGTAATTGCAACAAGTATGAGTAACAATAAGATGAAATAAGATCGAATCTAATAATGCAGTCAAGCTCTAGGTAGTAATAGCCATTATGAATAAAAGATATCATACTAACACTAATGTTAACAAACTGAGTAAGACAAAGAGAAACGCTCGACTACCTACGAACCTTCTATCCTAATCTTTGACCTCAATACCCTCATGTCTAGGGTCATGTCCTTGTTGAGCTCCAGCTGCGCCATGTCCCGCCTAATAACCTCTTCCCAAGACTTCTTAGGCCTACCTCTACCCCTCATGTTGCCCACCAAGACTAACCGCTCGCACCTTCTAACTGGGCTTTTATACTTCTCCTCTTAACATGCCTGAACCATCTCAACCTCGCCTCCCGCATCTTATCCTCCACATGGGCCACTCCCGCCTTATCCTGAATAATTTCATTCATGTTAGTTTGAGTGCTTGTATGAATTACTAAAGAACTTAGTTCTTTACCGTGTTTCTTATGCGAAAAGCAAACAAGCAATGAAATGAACACTGTGATTTTTACTTGAAAAATCACCCGACTCAAAAGGTGCAAAAAATACGACCTACCAAGTAGGATTTTCAGCTTTAACTCCACTAGAACAATGAGCCAAAAATGTATCAATTACAATTCTGTAATTAAAGACTCTCTAGTACTCTCTACTCCTATTTGATTCACAAGTAACTCTAACTTGCAAAAATAAAAACTCGCTCCAACTCACTAATTGTTTATAACACTTGATTACAATTCAATTTTCTAAAACACATCTACTGGACTAACTCGGGAAGAGTACAAGACAAGTATTCAACACATGTGAACCACTTTATGACTCTCTTATTGATGTGTAAAAGGATAGTTCTGAAGTCCACATTCAATCCTATTTTAACTCGACTTAAGATCTTCTAGGAGTCATATTCATAGCATGCTTCCTCTTTGATAGGACTCCTACTGTTCCAAGGATTCCACAAGCCTTGGGACTTTTGTCTCGGACTAACTTATCCTTATCTTCTTGAGCAACCCTTATCACTTACAGCATCCATCTTCCACCAAACTCGAACCTGGTAACTTTGAGATAAAGATATTGTCTTGTACAAACGTACAAGTATCAATTATGAGGAGTTGATCCTTTAACCTGAGAAGCTGGTTCTTCACAACAGGTAAGCAGTTACATTGAGGACCTGGTTCTTTGAGTAGTTAGTCACATTTTGTTAATTATTAAAACTTCAATATTCAACAATTCATAATCTTATCCAACCGGATATGCTCACCCATCGACCTCAATATCCTCATCTCAGCTAAATTTTTTATTATTTCTAAACAATAAAAAGTTGTTGATTGATGGGTTACTAGTTTTAGAATATTTAGTAAGTCTATAGTATTACAGTATATGCAACATGTAAATTTTAAAACGGTACATGTGTGGATTGGAAATAGCAGGTATCCCGTAAAATAGTCAAGGTGCATGTTGTATGGGTCCAAATTTGACCGACCACGACTTATAACGAGTACGACAAACGACCGGGTAACTCCGAACCGGCGTCCCAAGAAAGACGACCCCAAGGAGAAAGGAGAAACCGTACGACCCTTGTATAAGTGTAAACCCATTAGGGGACATTAAGAATATGTCTTGTATTTTGTGTTTCTTACAATTGGGAAGGTTTCCTCTCTAGTATATAAGGAGGACAAAAAAAACTTGCCAATCTGGAATGAAAAAAAACTCTGTGATTCTCTTCTTTTTACCTATTATTATTCTAGAGATTATTATCTTCAGCTAATTTACCCCTCTATCTTCGAATGATTTGTTCAAAATGCCTTAACATCTTTTGAGTCAAACAATTTGGCACCGTCTGTGGGGATTTCTATAGCTGAAATCATAGTTCTCATCTAGATTCCCGAAAGGGATATTTACTTTTCTTCAAACCTTATAAAAACCAACAATGGAGGGAAAGGAAGCGAGGCTGAAGGCGGTAGCAGATGTCTCGAATAATCTCTTGAACTCCCTCAACGAAGCTGGTAGAGAAGACAATGAGAATACAATACCAAGCGCTACACCGGAGGGAGAGATCTCACCTCTTCCACACGGGGATCTAACGTTCTTACGTGAAAGGGGAACCTCAACATCCACGGCGGGGAAGCTCCACCAGCAGTCAAAAGGCTACTAAAAGAATGGTTAACAAGTGCTTTGAGCAACATGCTCGAGAAACCCACTCAAGGAGATGTCGAAGACATGATACCTACAAAAATCGTAGCTGCCACCGATGAGCCAAGCGCTACACGAACAGGTAACACCCGTATTGTTACTAATGTAGGTGACAATGCACTCACGTCCATCTTAAAGAAAATGGAAGAGATGGAAAATGAGAACAAAATACTCCGCGACCAAATGAAGGAACATCAGGAGAGGGTTGACAAAATACCAGGCGCTCCGAAGCTATTACCAAAATGCGATGTGGGTCGATTTGTCGAACAGCCATATAGCGAAGGGGTTGCTCCTCATCCTATTCCAAAGACCTTCAAGATGCTGCCATACTTGAAAATATATGACGGGACCACGGACCGAGAGGATCACCTAATCCATTATGTTATTGCAGTAAAGGGCAACGATCTGTCAAAAGAACAGGTACCATTTGTGCTGTTAAAAAAGTTCGACGAGACTTTAACAGGGGGAGCATTGACATGGCACTCCCAGCTACCAGCGCGATCGATATCGACGTTCGAAGAGATGGCGGATAAATTCGCCATCGCCCATGCAGGAGCGAAGAAGGCCGAGGCTAGGGTCAATGATATTTTCGTCATCCAGCAAATGACGGGCGAGGGACTTCGGGATTTCCTGGTCTGATTCAACTGAGTAAGGATAAGTTTACCGAACGTGTCAGAAGGAATGGCAGTAGCAACCTTTCAAAATGGGTTAAATAGGAATGGATCAAAGGCGACCAAAAAACTGCTCAGTAGACTCATGAAATACCCCCTACCACATGGGAAGAAATCCACAATGCCTATTACGCTGAGGTAAGGGCAGACGAGGATGACCTGAATGGGTCACTTCAGCGATTAATATCAGTCCAGACCGAGGCAAGGAGAGATCGACGTAACAATGGGCGAAGAGGTCAACCACCACATTTCAATCGAGAAAGGCATCAGCCCTATATCTGCACATCCAACCCGCCCCCTCCGCGACACGCGCACGTTATGCCACGACATAAGGCACCCATTCGAAACGAAAGAGGTATTCCTCTACTATTATCTGCTCATAATTTTTGTGTTTCCCCTTTAGAAATAGTGTACACACTGGAGAAACTGGGCACGAATGTGCAGTGGCCGCAAAAGATAAAATCGGATCCAAGTACTCGAAGGTCGAACGTCCTATGTGAATTCCACCAAGAAAGAGGACACAAGATCGAAGATTGCATAGGTCTACGACAAGAAATAGTTAGGATGTTGAACCATGGGTACCTGAAAGAACTGCTAAGTAATAATGGAAGGGCTAACTTTGCTCGAGTGCGCGACCCATCTCAAGGACCTCCAAAGCCACCATAAGTAGCGCGCACCATATAAATGATCACTGGCAGCGGCGATGATACAGTAATCAACCATGTGAAGATCACCACCACGCACAAACTCAAACGGACAGTCGCCCACGAACGGTATGATGACCTCGAAGATAGTACCATCTTCGATAAGTCAGATACCGACGGTTTGTCTTTTCCCCACTATGATGCTTTGGTTATAGCTTTACGCATCATTGACACCGATGTAAAAAGAATCATGATAGATGACGGAAGCGGCACATGTATTGTTCACCCACGAGTTCTCATGCAAATGAGGCTCGAGGATAAAATAATATTGCATTGCATAACACTAACGAGTTTTAATAATACAGTAGAGCGGACATCCGGAGAAATAGTGCTACCTGTCCTAGCATGAGGGGTCACCCTGGAAACAACATTCCACGTCATGAACCAGGAAACGGCCTACAACGCTATCATAGGGCGACCATGGATACACGCCATGCGACCCTCCCCTCAAGTTTCTATCAAGTGATCAAATTTCCCACCCCATAAAGGATTTCAGCATCCGAGGCGAGCCATGTACCGCCCAAGAATGTTACCAGATCGCCCAAGATTGCACACACACCAGACAGCTAAAAGGGGCAAGCGCGGAAGCATAGCAGTCAGCCATGTCGGGCACCAAACCCGACATACAAGTAGAGGCCATCAAAGATCTGGACATTGTAGAAGCTTGCAAAGCAACCGTAGAAGATCTTGATCTCGTCCCATTATATAACACCGACTGCACCAAAAAGTCTTATGCTAGACACAACCTCTCATAGCCAGGTGAGTATCGTGAGTTTTTAACTAACAGCGCCGATTTGTTTACTTTTTCCCACTCAGATATGTCGGGAATCCCAAGGGAGATCGCCACACACAAGTTAAATGTCGATCCACTTTATCCACCGGTACGACAAATGAGGAGAAAGTTCAATGACTCAATCAATGAGGCGGTCAGCAAAGAAGTTGATAAATTACTCGCCAACAGTTCTATCAGAGAATCGAAATACCCCCAATGGGTTGCCAATGTGGTCATGGTCAAAAAGAAGAACGGGAAGTGGCGAATGTATGTCAACTTCACCGATTTGAACAAAGCATGCCCGAATGACTCTTTCTCGTTACCTTGCATCGACCAACTTATCGATGCAACAGCGGAGCACGAACTGCTGAGCTTCTTAGACGCGTACTCCGGTTATAACCAAATTCTGATGGCTGAAGAAGTTCAAGAAAAGACCACTTTCATCACTCACCAAGGTACGTACTGCTACAAGGTGCGTTCGGGCCTAAGAACGCATGGGCCACGTACCAAAGGTTGGTCACCAAAATGTTCAAAGAACAACTCGGCAAGACAATAGAGGTTTACATCGATGACATGCTAGTGAAGTTAGCAAAGAAAGAATATCACATTGGTCATCTGAAGGAAGCCTTCGAAATATTAAGGCAATACGGAATGAAACTGAATCCCGAAAAGAGCGCCTTCGGCATGACTTCTGGAAAGTTCCTCGGTTTCATAGTGTCACAAAGGGGAATCGAGGTCAAGCCGAATCAAATCAAGGCCATTGATGCAATACCGGAAATACTGACTAGCAAAAAGCAGGTGCAGAAGTTGACGGGACGAATAGCCGCCCTATCAAGGTTCATTTTGCGATCCTCGGATAGATGCCATAAATTCTTCAATGTACTAAGGAAAGACCACGGGTTGCAATGGAACGATAAATGCATCGACGCCCTGAGAAAGCTGAGAACGTATCTATCCTCGTCACTACTGCTCGTCAAAGGAGACCCAGGTGAATGCCTACGTGTGTATCTAGCAGTTTCCGAAGTTGCGGTAAGCGCCGTCTTGGTCCGTGAAAATAAAGGTATGCAATCTTCGATTTACTATGTCAGCAAAACTTTAATCGATGCCGAGATGAGGTACCCTCGCCTTGAAAAACTAGCTCTGGAATTGGTCATAGCTTCACGTAAGCTTAGACCGTACTTCCAATGTCACCCCATAAAAGTGGTGACAACCTTCCCCCTAAGGGGTATCCTACATAAACCTGAACTATCCGGTAGACTAGCCAAATGGGCCATAGAACTAAGCGAGCATGACATAACATACCAACCGTGAACTGCCATCAAGTCGCAGGTGCTCGCAAACTTCGTCGCTGATTTCAGCACAAAAATATTGTTGAGGTAGAACAGGAAGCACTCTCCACTTCTACACATACCGACCTCTGGGTCCTCTACACTGATGGTGCCTCTAATGCCTCGGGATCGGGAGTAGGACTCGTCCTCGAGGTCCCTATAGGTTAAGTAATTTGCCAGTCCATACGATGTCCCGAGATGACTAATAACGAGGCCGAGTATGAAGCTATGATTGCAGGTTTGAAGTTAGCCCTCAAATATGGCACTCGGCGACTCGTCCTCCATTGGGACTCCAACTCGTGGTGAATCAGGTCACCGGGACTTTCCAAATCAAATAGCAAAGGCTACAAAGATACCAATCAAAAATCCATAAACTACTGCTAGAATTTGATGAATGCCACCTCGACCAAATACCCAGGGCACAAAATATCGAAGCAGATGGACTCGCTAAACTGGCTGCATCCACCAAGAATATCAACAAAGAAAACGTTGTCACCCTCCTTCATTCCGCAATAGACCACGTCGAGGTACATTATATAAACCTAACTTGGGACTGGCGTAACCGCTTCATAGCCTATTTGCAAGATGGAACGCTCCCGCAAGACAAAAAAGAATCCAAAAAACTCCGGGTGTAGGCAGCCCGGTACAGCCTAATAAACGACGATCTCTGCAAAAGAATGTTCGGCGGCCCTCTAGACAAATGTCTTGGGCCACATCAAACAAGGCGAGTGTTAGAAGAAGTACACAAAGGGCATGGTGGCACCCACACGGGAAACTGCGCCCTCGTCTGATGCCTCATTCGCGCCGGCTATTACTGGCCCACCATGAAAAAAGAAGTCGCTGACTATGTCAGGATATGTGAACAATGTCAAAAGTATGCCCCTATGATACACCAAGCAGGGGAGCTCCTTCATTCCGTTACTTCGCCATGGCCATTCATAAAGTGGGGAATGGACATAGTTGGCCCCCTCCCAGCAGGACGAGGTAGGGTACGATTCCTTTTGGTTTTAACTGACTACTTTTCTAAATGGGTGGAAGCAGGTGTATACACTCAGATACGCGAGCATGAGGTCATCGCCTTCATATGGAAAAACATTATATGTCGTTTTGGCATCCCCAAAGAAATCAGCTGCGACAACGGACCTCAGTGCGTCAGAAAAAGAACTACTGAGTTTTTCGAAAAGTGGGGCATCAAACGAATACTCTCCACGCCATACCACCCTACCGCCAATGGTCAAGCCAAATCCTCCAATAAAGTAATATTAAACATATTGAAAAAGAAGCTTGAGGAAGCTAAAGGGCTATGGCTTGAATTACTGCCGGAAGTATTATGGGCAATACGCACTACGCTAAAAACTAGCACAGGAAAAATGCCATATTTACTGGTCTATGGGACCGATGTAGTCATACCCGTCGAGGTCGGGGAGCCCAGTTTGAGATACTCCAACGAGAGTGGAACAGGAAATGACGAAAGCAGGCTACAAGATCTGGATGAAGTTGAAGAACAAAGAGACATGACCCACATAAGAATGGTAGCCCAGAAGCAGCAAGTAGAAAGAAACTACAACAAGAAAGCCAAGGTGCGACCACTCAAAGTTGGCGACTACGTCCTCAAGGCCAAAACACAAGCATCAAAAGACCCTAATGAAGGAAAATTGGGAACGAACTGGGACGGACCATACAAAATCATAGCAGCAGCAAATAAAGGAGCGTTCCAGCTAGAAACAATGGGAGGAAAACTACTTCAAAACAACTGGAACGTCGCCCCATCTCAATTACTTCCACTTCTAAAAGAAGGCGTCACCTAAGACGTACTCTGTTTCCCTCACCCGGGTTTTGTCCCAATCGGGTTTTCTCGGGAAGGTTTTTAACGACAAAAGGGGGACGCCATAAGGAGCCATAAGGAGCGACATATTGTTCATTACCTCGACCCATCGATATGACCTCCGGATCAAAGTAATAAAGGGACTACATATAGATAACCGAATCTCCATTGTATGTACGGAATCAAATCTCCATTGTATGTACAGAATCAAATCTCCATTGTATCTACGGAATCAAACCTCCATTGTATGTGCAGAACCAGATCTCTACTAGTTGACAGGTGATGTCTTCCTACGGGAATACGATCAAATCTCCAACAATGTAAGTTCAACCTCGTTTGAACCACGCCGGGATTCTACTTCGACGACAGTTCGAAGCAACATAGCAAAGGCCAAGGCCATCGATGACAGTGTAAGTTCGACCTCGTTCGAACTATGATAGGAGTCTACTTCGACGACAATTCGAAACAACATCCCAATGGCCAAGGCCATTGACAACAATGTAAGTTCGACCTCGTTCGAACCACGAGGGGAGTCTACTTCGATGACAGTTCGAAGCAACATCCCAATGGACAAGGCCATCGACGACAATGTAAGTTCGACCTCGTTCGAACTACGACGGGAGTCTACTTCGATGACAGTTCAAAGCAACATCCCAATGGCCAAGGCCATCGACAACAATGTAAGTTTGACCTCGTTCGAATCACGATGGGAGTCTACTTCGATGACAGATCGAAGCAACATCCCAATGGCCAAGGCCATCGACGACAATGTAAGTTCGACCTTATTCGAACTACGACGGGAGTCTACTTCAATGATAGTTTGAAGCAACATCCCAATGGCCAAGGCTATCGACAACAATGTAAGTTCGACCTCGTTCGAATCATGACAGTATTCTATTTCGATGACAGTCCGAAGCAATATCTTAATGGACAAGGCCATCAACGACAATGTAAGTTTGACCTCATTCGAACTACGATGGGGGTCTACTTCGATGATAGGTTGAAGAAACACCCCACTGGCCAAGGCCATCGATAAA